TATTCTTCTCTGTTACTTGTGATATTCATTGTCCTAGTCGGTTGAAAGCCAAGGCTAACCATTGCACAATCTTTGCTCTACATTCTGTGTTCTTCTTCCTAACTGGTATGCCACTGATTAATTTTTGAAATCTAAACCTTATGTGCCCTAGTTCATCAATTGTGAGTTCTATTCTTATTCTTGTTTATTGCTTTGTTTAACATGCCCAATCCTTTCTTGTCAAATATGTGATAATTGCATGTATGCTGCTTTACATAGCATATCTCAATCTTGTTTGCTCATTAGCATGTCCAAACTACATCGCATGTTTACTATTTCACCTAGCATGTCTGAACCTTGTTATGTTTTTTTGTGATTAGTATGTCTAATGAAATATCTACTACTTTATCTAGCATGCCTCACCCTTTTTAGTTCTATATGTGATTATCATCTCTAAACTATAAGTGCTTGTGTGGTGTTTGCCTAGTCTGTTCATTTAAGTACTTGCCTACTCTGCTTTACTAATGAGATCATGCTAAGTCATCTAGTCTCTCAAGGCAAATCTAGTAGTGTGTTTGGTCATGTCCAAGGTTTATGTGTTCTCAACATGTCTTTTCTGTAATCTCTGCTCCATGTCTCAATCACCTTTCCTTGTAACTAACTTATTAATTCTACAAACTCTTGAAAATTTTGTGCGTTTGGTTGCTTATGTGCTCTACTATACACTAAGGTGTATTCTACGTGTCCCCAACCCCTCTCTCCCTGTGTGGAATCTGTTTGCCAGGTGTTTCTGAATCTGGATGTTCTATGATTTATGTTCTGATTTCAAAGTTTTTTCATACTTTTCTCAAGTTGTTTTACCACCAAACTAGTTCTAGTTTTCAAAAAATCTTTCACTCCTAAAAGTCCTCTTCATACTGTTTACCAAGACCTTTTCAAAATTATGTCAAACCCTCGCACTTACTCTTAGGTTATTAAGTCCTGCCCCTCTAGTATGTGTAATTCTTAGAGATCCATGAGATATCTCTGAACTCTGGCATATCAGGGCTGGCTCTTCCACACTGCACATAATCAGTCTTTATTTGAGAAAGTCTGGGTGTGAGCACTGCCCGGGATCCTTGAGGTCCTTAGGGAACTCTGACACACCTGGACACAAATGTGACAATGAAATCTTTGGCATTTGAGACTGCTGAAGGCCTGGTACCCTAGGTTTGCTTTGGGCCTGTATCAGGATCCTATAGCTTAATTTCTATTGCATTTATATAATTTATTCAATTCTGGTCTGTAATAATTATTTGTAAATAGATATTGGGGTAACTAGTGAAATGAAAGGGTAATTGTATGGTACTGTGGGGTAATGCTGGATTGAAATCATGTTTTTAGGCTTTACATTATGCAAATCTTCACTAGAAATCATGTTCTAGGACTGGTGTGTCTATTTGCATTCAAATCATGTTAAACCTGCACACTAGTCATCCTGTTCTTAGGGTATTCACGTAAATTTCTCCAGCATACTACATGTCATATATCTCTATTCCATGCTATTGCCCGAGGGGCTAATATGAGTGATTGTGAGATAGCCCAAGGGGCTAATACGAGTTATTGTGAGATAGCCCAAGGGGCTGATTCTGTTGGTACTTTGCCCGAGGGGCCGGTTTTATGTGTTTATCTTTTATCACTGCATTTCTTTCACTCGTTTAACTGTTAAAAGATATTTTAAAGAAGCTTATACGGAACTAAGGTGTTTTTTTATAAGTTTTGACTATTTTATTGCATTGTATTGGTTTTACACTGCCTATTTGTAGCATTTTTGCTGTGTTTTACATGTTTTCTTATCGCTCATCTGCCTTTAGTTTTATTACTCACTGAGTTGGCATACTCACATTACTCCCTACACCCTGTGTGCAGATTCAGGAGCTTCGGGTCCTGCTAGCGAGGGGTGATTGCTTCCAGCAGGCTGTTCAGAGTTCACTAGGTAGCTGCTTGACGTTCGTAACCCAGTGTTTCTCCTTCCTATCTATATTTTCCTTGTACTAGACTGTGTAGACTTTTCGTACTCTTAGAAAAATGTTCTAGATGCTTATGACTGGTGACACCCCGATGTCGGGCTGTGTTTATTTCCGCACTTGTTCTATTTCACTGTATTTTTTTGGGGTTTATCACTTATTAATGACTTAAATTGCATTATTATAATCGTTAAAATGGATTGAGGGTTTGTGTCGGCTGGCCTTGTTTCACGATAGGCGCCATCACAATCAGGTCCGAATTTAGGGTCGTGACAAGCTGTATGGTACTGCGGGGTAATGCTGGGTAGAAATCATGTTTTAAGGCTTTACATTACACAAATCTGCACTAGAAATCATGTTCTACGACTGGTGTGTCTATTTACATTCAAACCATGTTAAACCTCCCCACTAGACATCCTGTTCTTAGGGTATTCACATTTATTGCTTCAGCATACTACATGTCATATATCTCTATTCTAGCTTTGATTTTGCATAAGTACTTTCACTTAGAGATCCTGCTATTAGGTTAGTAATCATGCCTTAATAAAAGTAGTCATCTCCTCTATGCATTAGATACCATGTTTTCTAGGGACTCTATTTGCATCTGTTTGCACAATGTCTATTTTGATCAAATCAATAGTTGTCTACAAAAGGGTTTAAAAATAGTCCAAATGCATAGATATCACGTCCAACTGTCAGCATGCCTAAAATCAGCCTTTGTCACTAAGATCAGTATGCCTATAGGATTAACTCACTTCAAGCTGTTTAATTAAATCCCATATTATGACTGCATATAGAAACACACCTAGGCAAGCCTTAGGCCATTAAATAATTGTGAAATCCAGTTCTATTTATGTGTGAAATTATCCAAGATTAACAAGCTATAAAACCAGTAGGCAATCTTGTTAGGATTCTGCCACATCCCTTAAAACGAACATTGCATATCATGTATCTGTAACATTCATCTAGATATCATATTCTTAGGCTTTTTGAACTTCTTCAAAATCAGTTGTTTGAGACTGGTTGTTTATTTGCCTATATACATGCGGAGGTAAACATGAGCCTTTTCACTACCTTTTCCCTATTTGCTTGTCCTACATGTTATTTGTTTGTCGCCTAGATTTTTGCCTTTGAAATATCTTAGGTTTGTCCACAACTGCCCAGATTTAGAGGTCCTAAGCTCCTCCAGGACCACAAGGAAGGGACAGGTAGCAGCACGCTTAGAGGTCCTTAATCAAACTCGCTTATATAACCATTAAGGGGAGGGTAATGGGTAGTAAAAGGATATGATGACCTGCACGCTAATGTCACGTGTAGCCCTTCTAGTTAAGAAGGATTACCGGGCATTGCACAGATTGATCCTGTAGCCTAATCAACTTAGGTCTTCCCTTTCCCAATTCCTATACGTGTTTAAATTATCTAAACTTTCGTTTTCTTTACATATATGTGTGTTTAAGCTGTCCAAACCTCTTTTACTTTCATTATTTAGATTTCCCTGGATTATATGTGTATTTAGACTGTGGAAACCACCTTTGTTTGCAAATACGTGCTAAGACTATTTACTTGTTAAATGACTAATTCACGTAGTTTAAGTTAGGCCAGGACCCACCGTTGTGGACAGCGAGGTGTGCCTAACACCTTCCCCTCAAGGTTATTTCGAGCCCTTACCCTAATCTCTGGTAATGTAAACTAGTCACATGAGTTAATCGCTCTAGGTGCCCTAACGCACCTTAATCCGTTAGGTGGCGACTCTTCAAATACCCAATTCCAAAAAACAATCGAGTGGTTTCCTCATGAATGTCGAAACCCGAACCCCGCGAGGGAAAAGGGGGCGCAATAGCATGGCGACTCTACTAGGGATAGTTTAGGCTCTTACCATAACAAACTTTTTGTGAATTAGTCTAAGAATGCTTTATCCTGTGTGCCCTTCCCCTTTTATTTGGATTTAAATCCTTATTTATGATTTCTTTATCTTCCTGAAACTGACTTGCCTCTTTATTTTCTTTTTCTCATAACTGTCTTTCAATTTATTTTTTTTGGTTGACCGCTAGGCAAGCGCCTAGGGCTAGTTTTTATATATATAATTCAAAAATCCAAATTTAAATACAAAGTCGGGAGGTCTTAGATGATGAAAGAAATAAACATTGTTGATTACATAGATCCTATTACCAAAATTGAGCAATGAACTCAAAATTGATATTACATTATGCATACTAAACTTTGTAATTATTAAAAGTAGCCCAAGTAAGTCCATGTCAACGTTGTATCTCTAGTCCATAACGTCCCAACCCATGTCCATGTTCCATGTCCAAATTTCTTCAGTCCAATTCCAGTACATAAATTGTTTGCATGCATATCCGATGTCCAGCTTTCCAAATGTAACCCCATTTCCTTGTTCATTCTCGCCCATTAAACATACCGAAACTTGGTCATGATGTCTCCAAACGGCCATGACCATACCTTTGTGTATGTTTGAACCAGGTGTGCATTAAACAAGGATAATTTAATTCCCATTGTTTCATTTACCAAGGAGCATGCTTGGAATTTAAAAATCTTCTTTGGATAGACAATCACATGAGCTTTCTTTGCCAATTTTAAAAGCATTAGCTCATCCTTCCAATGTCCATTGGTATAGTCGATGCAATACACTTTCTTTATTGTAACCATGGCTTTTTCAATTTGTCCAACTTTCATGACTACACCATTATTAAATTGTTGGCATTTACACCCATGCTTTATCCTTGAGTTCTGCAGATAAACACACAAAAGCGTGAATTTAAAATTCAATACCAGTTGTGTCTTGAACTCGGCAGATTTAAAGTGCATTAGGCGTGCATTTGAGAAGCGTGCCACATTGAATCTATGCGTGAATCCAGCTTTTTGTTGTATTAAATATTGCCTCCGGTGGTCCATTCCTATTGAAATGTGCTCCCCCAATATAGTATTTAATACCATAAAATTGTTATGTACCATCCCATGCGTCATTTTTCCGTGCATGTGTGACAACTTTAAACCTTTGCCCATTTCTCCCATGTTTTCCGTGCATGTGTGTTTCTTTGGGCATTGCATTATCACCTTATGTTGTCGAGCTATAGGTCTCCATATGTTTGTCTTGAATTTCCCATCTTCAGTCCACACCTTGTCTTGCATGATTATGATAATGATACCAACCATCACATTTTTTATTGTTCTTTTGTGGTACCATTTTTCTATGCTTTGTCTTAGCGTACTTTCTAGGTCTCCCTTTCTCGAAATCACGCCATCCCTTAGATACATTTGAGTTTTATGCAAACCAGCATGGCATCTCAAACAACTCCTTATAGCAAAGTCACGCTCCCAGACAGGCGTGCACTGTTGACCACAAAAGCTCTCTCCAAAGCTCCTTTTGTCTAGAAGTTCATCTCTCCTTTCCCATGTGACATTGTGCTCACTTATTGCAATAGATATTTGGCGTAGCATTCCACTCTAGACTTCTTCTTTCTCCTCTTCCGGTTGCTTATATTTTGTTCGAGAGAGCCATTTCTCTTCTTGATCTGCCTCATGAAATGGTCGATCAAATTCCTCCAAAGTTCCAGCAATTCCTTTTGATGTAATTGCCTTCCTTGAAATGATCTTTGTACATATGCCAAAGCCCACCTTTAATGTCCTCCCAGCGGATTGAATGCAAGGCATTAATACCACCACTTGAGATTCTATTATAACATAAGGTTTTAGCATCGATGAGATACTTGCAAAAAAGTAAACAATGTTAGTTGAAAAATTGCTAACCAATCTCTCCTCAAGAATGATTCGAGTCCGATAGCAAATTGTAGCCTCTTTTCCTCCTAATTCCTTGCAACCTTCACTCTTATGTAAGGACATTGCATCTTGTCTTCATTAATAATCCTCCTTCCTTTTGAGTCCATATACTAGAAGCCATGACATTCAATATTTCCTTTATCTAGAGCATAGTTGGCAAGGTGGTCTGCTAATGTATTCCCTTCTTTGAATATGTGTGTGACCTTGATGATACTTTGTTCCTTTAATCTTAAAATCTCCTCAACATGATCAGTAATATACCAAGGCGGATTCCATGATTCCTTTATAATGTTCTTTAATAGCAAGGAATCTGTCTGCAGCCATATCTGAAAATAATTAAGATTTTTGCACATCTTCAATGCCTCCACAATAGCTACTGCTTCTGATTCATTATTGGTTCCTTCAGAAATCTCCCTTCCTTCTGCATATATCAAATCACCTACCTCATCCCTTATGCAGAAACCAATTGAACTCCTCCCTGGGTTCCCTCTACATGCACCATCCATATTTACTTTGATCCACCCTCTTGGAGGAAATTCCCATAACACCTTTTCATATTTCAATCGAGGTGTGTATTGATCCATCATTGTCAGTAAGTCCAGCCACTTGTTAGGCACATGCAGTCCAGGCTTTTTTAATTGGACTAGAGCTTGCAGAGTAGATGACACCTGGTAAATAACTCTGCTCACTGACACTGCTTCTCCATATTTCAAACTGTTTCTTCTCTTCCAAAGTTCCCATATAATGCATGCAGGTAAAGCTTGTAAGACTGGCTTCAATCTGGGAACAACTGGTGCTTTCCAACACTTTGTAATTGCTTGTTGTAATGATAATCCTTCTAATGCAATTCCTACTCTCCTCAGGAAGTAATTCCAAACACTCCTAGCTGCATTGGATGTGAAGAACAAATGTACTAATGACTCCTCCTTAGGATCAGCACAATACCAACATTTTGATGGCATGGAGTATCCTATTTTACGCAAGAAATCATCAAGTGGCAGTTTGGCTTTCCACACCTTCCACAGGAAGAAAGATAACTTGAAAGGTAAGCCTTTGACCCATATCATCCTGCAACCTAATCATGGGTTGTCTCTTCTTCGCAGGTAATCCCATGCAGACTTCACTGAAAAATGACCTCTTATTTCAAGCATCCAGAATGGTGTATCTAACTCTGCACATTCGTTTGGTGGTCTAATATTTTGCACAATGTGGTTTGCCAAATCTTCAGGTAGAGTCTGAAATATTTTTTCCAAGTTCCACATATCATTTTCAACCAGATCATTGAAATTTTGAATATCCTCATCGATACCAAACTCTGCAGGCACTTGGAAATATAAGGCTCCCAGCTTAGTCCAATTGTCGAACCAGAATTGAGCTGATCCCATTCTCGGTTTCCANATTCTTCCCTTCACAAAACCTGCATGTTCCTATGAGATTAAGTTTGGTAAAAATTCAATCAACCTTTCATGAATAACCCTTGAGAAAATCTTGTTAACAAAGTTGCTGAGACTGATTGGTCTCATGTCTGCAAAGGTCATAACTTCTTTTTNAATTTGGCAAAAATGCTATGTAATTTATTGATCACAAATTTTTTTGGATTAACTGCTGACAACATATGAATTGGGATACTCTGCATGACATTTGCGATCAATATAGCTCTGCCTCCTATAGATAGGAGTTTGCCTTTACACGACTGCAGTTTGTCCATGACCTTAGTGATTAATCCCTGGTAATAGTCACTCCTTCTTCTTGCATAAAAAATAGGGCAGCCAAGATAGGTCATAGGGAAACATTGTCTTTATATACCTGTAATCCTTTCAACCTTGTTAATCACCTCATTATCCGTTAAATGATGCAGGTATATGGCAGTTTTGGCTTTGTTCAC